ATTGAATTCCGTTCTGCCTCTTTTCCTTCTTTTCTGTAACTTTCACGTTCTCTTCCAACCCTTATTTTCTTTCTCTTCTTACTGCTACTTCTTTTCCATATTAATTCTAAATAACGAATATATTAACCATATAATTCTCCTTATGTCATAATGGGCTTAAAACTCATGCACCCCCCTTTCTACTACTTCTAGTCCTTAAAATAAGCCCACATCAAATAATATTATTACTCTAATATTATTACACAACTTAATAGAATAAATAAATCCAATAACAACAACACATCAACTATAATCATAACACAACTTCACAAAATAATCCAAAAATAATTTAATTAAATAATTAATTAAATTACGGGCGTTACACCCTCGCCCCAGACTTTTTGATTTTATTTTATTTTTAACATGGTCAGTAGTTTGTTTTTAAATATATTTAGATGAAGGTATTTACTAAGTACCATAGCATGTGGCCAGGTGGTAACACTTTTGTCCAGCATACTTAGGGTTCTGAGTTCAACACCCTTTAGCACCAAAACAAATTTTTTAAGCATTTGTTTTCTTCATTTCTTTTGCAAATTTTAACCAATTTTTTAACCACTAAAATTTAATATTTTTTCTAGCTTATTTTTTGCACACTCTTAATTTATTATATCTATTTTATGATCATGTGAAAAAAATTCCAAAAATATTAGATTTAGGTTTTTTAATTAATTAATTAAATTTTTATAAATAAAAATTTTAATTTAATCACACTTTGTTTTACTTTATTAATTAGTTTGTAAATTAATTAGAATTAAGGTTTATTATTTTTACACTATAAAATATTTTTCTAAATAAAACACCAAAAATATTAGAATTTCTTAGGTCTTAAATTTCTTTTCCTTTTCACCACCTCCGTGCGTTTGTTTATTTTTGGCATAGTTATTTTCATAATTATGTAACTGTTAAGGGATGTAATAGATAAAATAGGGTTTATGTTATTTTTCTCCCCATTCATAAATTTGTACCCCATTTCCGACGCGTTGTAATAGCGTAAGATATTTAATTTTCACAATTTACTACTTTCCTTATTTCTGTTAGTTTAATAGATTGTATGACAAGATCTAAAACAAAACACTAGATAACCATAAATCCAAGATAAATTAACTGAAATCAAAACACTTCGCACACACGTACCTTTAGGGTAACCTCGCTTGTTGCCTTCGGATAAAACATTCATGTCCCTCGAACGTGGGATGCTTTAGCAAAAACCCTCAGTTAAAAGATCGTAGTCCCTCGATGACCCTTCGATGCTGCCTTCGGTAAACGATCTTAGTCCCTTACGAAAATTGCTAAAGTGTCCTACAAGTTGCCTTCTATGACTATACGATGACACACGTCTGTCCCTCACATCCAACGATAGGGATTCCTACTAACTAATGGTAGGGTAGCACCATCTAAAGGAAGAGGAAAATAACAAAGACTTCTTTGAGTAGGTAGAACACTCGTAGTCGCTTGCCCACAAACTTCTCAAAACAAAACATCTTTCCACAAAACAAAACTTTCTTTCACAATATTTTCAAAAACAAATATTTTGTATACATTCTCAACGATATGAGAATCATTACAAAATTGTCGCACTTAGGCATTTTCAAACATACACAAGCATAAAGCATTTCCAAAAAGTGAGCTAGCGATTAAGAGCCCGTAGAAAACTACGGATGAAAAGGGTGCTAACACCTTCCCTCTTCATAACCTACCCCCTTACTCGGAAAATTCTTAAAGGTATTTCCTGTTCTTTTCACCCTTTTCTTTATTAGATAAAAGAAAATTCGGTGGCGGCTCTTACTATCCACAATATTTGCGATAAAATGCAAAACCCAAAAGTCAGTTCTCCCACCGTATTATAGTGATATTCTTCAGAAATCGAGTTTGGTTCTTGAGATTAACCAGTCATAAAGTCTCTGTTTGGTTATAGAACTTATCCTCTAAAAGTTATGTTTGGTTATTGAGATTATCCTGGAAAATCTCTAACCAGTTCTTTAGCTCACCTGGGTAAAATATTTCTTTTTGGTTGGGGATAAGCCATTGTAAAATATCTAGATCTGCTTGAAACGAAGGTTTGCGGGTATAACATGTAAAAGCTCAAGTTTATAGTAAAAATCTCAAGAAGATCTCTTGGAGATAGGAGTAGACCAACGTTCAGACGAACCTGGATAAATCACTGGTGTCATATCTCAAAACTCTTATCTCGTAATTTCTGCCATTTACTTTACCGTTTTTATATTTCACTGTTTGGTTTACTCTAATCTTAAAGAATACTGACACAATTTTCTTTTTTAAGTAAAACATTTTTAAATTTAATAGTGACTTTTGAATACCATAATTAACCCCGTTCTTGTGTTTGAAGTCACTTGTGCAACAAATTATTCAAGCCACAAATGAGAGATTTTGATATTTAGCCGTTACCAATCATTAAGAGACAATCCCAATCAATTTTAGACTCAACCAAGTCAAAATAATCGATTAGATGCTCAGGGATAATTAATTATCTAATTGTAAAAAATTCTCCAATTGACCAGACAATCACCTAATCATTTAGTTAGGCCTTAAAAACATTTTCAGGAATTTTTCACAAAGTAAAAGAGGTTTCTCAAAGATTTTTAGTGTGTGTATGTGATTCTGGCATAGTATTTTTAGAAATACCCCTGAGTCTTGCAATTCAAACTTTTTACTTTAAAAATTTAGTTTCTTAAAAGAATAATTTTATATAAAATAATAAATGAATGTTTATCATTAATATATTTTTAATTTTCACAATATAAATGAATGTTGAAGAATTATTCTAAATCCTCCACACATCTTCTCCAATAGATTTTTTTAGTTTCCCGTATTATGAAGTTTTTTTATACTGTGAATAAAATCAAACTCCCTAAAACCCCCATCATCTAAATCCCTCAATTATTTTCAGTCAATCTTTCCTTCTTTTCAAACCCCCCTCCCTTATTTTTTTTAAACTCTCGAACAAAACCTTAAATTAAAAATCTCTCATATCTTTCACGAAAAAAATACGTGTGTGAATATATTGGCTCACAACCATGCAGTGGCGAAGCCAAGAAAATTATAAAGCCCAGGGAAAAAGAGAAAGGGAGTTTAACAAAGTTATAATGTTCTTATATCAGAAATTAAACTTGAAACAAAGTTTAGATTCAATACCAATAGTATATTATTTCAAGCCCAACAACGTTACGAGGAAGAGAGTTTAACAAACCATCGTGATGTAAAAGAGGATTTTATTTGAACATGAATTCATGGAAAAACATGACCATAAACATTGAAGAAAGAGAGAAAACGAGAAGCATATGTTGAAACTGAGTTTAAATTGCACATGAGAGTCGATTTCATATAAGCTCAAGATGATATATATATATATATATATATATATATATATATATATATATATATATATATATATATATATATATATATATATATATATATATATATATATATATATATATATATATATATATATATATATATATATATATATATATATATAATGAGATATTATCCTTATGTACATGATATGCCTATGAACAAAAACCAATAAACACAACATTAATCATTAGGTGTCCAGCTTGAGCATCAAATAGTTATAAATAGTTGGAGTCACACCTCATATATTATACACACTAAAAATGGTGGTGGAGCATGAGAGACTTGCGTAAATTAAGAAATTGAACACTTACTGATTCGATATGTCTAGTTAATGAGTACACTAAGCTACCATTAGAAGCATTCCAAACACAGATTCTGCAATTATGCAATTTAAGCAATTTTGGTTCTACTTAGGAATCTCATGGAGAATATAACTTATGATATCTAACACTTGGTTGTATTACACTTGTTTATCCTTCATATCTATCACACCAATCTACACTTGATTGTATCAAACGTGTTTATCATATGTAGTTGATGATGGTGAGTAAATCATAAAAGGTTTCTGAAATGTAATCCGCATAGGTATAACTTACACATGTTTGATTTCAAGGACGTTAAACGGTTGATACGTCATTAATTCTCCATCAATTTGTCAACAACAATCGATTACGACACGATAACAGTAACTCGAACCTGCAACCAAGAGATTTCAAGACAGAAAAACAAAAGAACACGGTTCAGACATTTCATTGAACACTTGGTGTGCATAGCGCAGAACGATAAATTCAGCAACAATTCTTCACAAATTCATAAACCACAACCTGCAACAACAATGAATAACATCACAACACGATTCCGCGTAAAGAATCGAGCTTAAAATTAAAAAAAAAAAGAAGAAGAAAAAGAGAACTCGCGACGATTCACCATCTAAACAGGGAGACAATTGACTATGATATTTCGATTTCTTAAGTGAGAGAGAGACCATTACAATGAGATTTTGAGGTTCAGGCAAGAGAAGGAAGAGTTTGGACAACTGTCCTATCTCGCAGGGCACTGGGGTCGTCCCTGCAACCTTGAACGCATGACATTATCATAACACACTTTATCAAAAATCCTATAAGAAAATACACTTATATTGTGTTTGAATTGTCGATGGAAATAATTGATTTTAACATAATTGAGTTTGATAAAATCGATTTTAAAAGAATTGAATTTATCAACGTTTATGTAAAAATAAATTGAACAATAAATTTCAATAAATTTCGAACACGTCAAAATCATCGAGAATCAATTCTATATTTCTATTATCCGATTAAAATAAAACCAAACATTAAGTTAATCTATGTTAGTATAATCCATAAAAAGAATATCGACATGCATCAAGTTAATCAATGACACGTATGGTGCAGAAGCTTTTATGCAATTGTTGTTTTGTTTCTTTTCTTTTCACCACGTGACCTTCCTTTCCTTTCCTTTCCTTTCTTTTCCTCCATTGTTTTTCTTCATTCCAACACAGTTACAACCAAATCCTTAACCCAGAAACATAATCACCCAATTAATGTTAATCACAGATTCATCAAATGACTAACCTTTTCTCCAGAACCTTCCATTGTCTCTGGTTTCCATCCACCATTCTTCCTCCTAAACCACCTTTCAAAAATCTTCCATTTCCATCTTCAATTCATCTTCCCAAACGCTTCATCTTCACCTCTACTCGCCACACTAATGTTCTTCTTCCCAGTTCAGCTTCATCCTCAACCTCATCTCCTCATCAACATGAACCGGTTGAACTCATCTCCTCAACTCGTAAGCTGATTTAACTCTCAAGCTTTTAGCTTTTTTCCTTTTTGTTTATTGGGTTTTTCTCAATTTTCAATTTATGTTTATGGGTTTCTTTCTTTTTTTTTTTGTTCATTTGAAAAACTTTTTTTTTTTGTTCATTTGAAAAACTTTTTTTTTTTTTGTGTTGATATTTGTGTTTTGTTACAGAATGTTCGGATGGAAGTATTGTGTTTACATTTGGAAATGCTAGTGAGATTAGAGAAATGGTAGATGAATTAAACAAGAAGAAACTTGTTCCTGAGGGTGTCATTGAGGAAGGAGGTGTTGGTGTTTTGCTGAGTGATGATGGTGTTGAAAAGTTGATAAATGAGGATGATGGTAACTTACGAGAAGAAATTGAATCATCTTTGACTGTAGTAGTTGCTGATGCTGATCAAAATCCTCAGCTTCTCACTAGTGAAGACGAAAGTAGTGTTGTTCCTGAGAGTGAGACATCTGTGATCAATGATTTGCAAAAATGTTATTCAGTTGAGGATGGTAATGATGGTTATCATGCGATTTGTAGCGAAGATGTTGCTGAGCCTAATGGTTTTCCGAGTGTGTCTAAGGAAGATTCTCGAGTTGATAGTCTTGATGAAGTTGGTGTTTTGATAGTTTCTCCAGCAGAGGAAGATGTTGTTTCTGATCTGAGTAGTGGTGGTTCTTTGGAAGTTGAAGAGAAAGGTGATATTTTGGCTTATGTGGTTGTCTCCTTAATCAACAATGCCCACTTAAGTTTTTGATAGTTATTGTTCTGTTTGTCAGGTAGAAGGCTAACATTGAAGTTGCTCATCTCTCTACAGTTTACAATGGTGGCGGTGTGGATAGAGCAGCAGACAGCTCAGCAGATGGCGTTGATGCTAGTGACTTGACTGAATTGGTGCAAGCATCCACTTCTATAGAGTCTGATCATTCAGTCAACGGAACAACAAGCAACTTGAGGGGTAGTGTTGATGCTGACATAAGAGAATTGGAAACAGTATCCACTTCTTTAGAGTCGGTGCAAGATGATTATAGTTCGACAAACAATCTGAGTGGGAGTGTTGATGCCAAAACAAATGAATTGGTGCCGGTATCAACTGCTTCAGAGTCTGCGCAAGATGATTATAGTCCAGCAGTCAATCTGACTGACAGTATTGATACTGAAACAAATGAGTTGGTGCCGGTATCAACTTCTTCAAAGTCTGCACAAGATGGTTATAGTGCAACAGACAATCTGACTGGCAGTGTTGACACCGAAACAAATGAATTTGTGCCGGTATCAACTTCTTCAGAGATTGTGCAAGATAATTATAATGCAACAGACAATCTGACTGGCAGTGTTGATGCTGAAACAAATGAATTGGTGCCGGTATCAATTTCTTCAGAGTTTGTACAAGATGATTATAGTGCAATGGACATTCTGACTGTCCGTGTTGATGCTGAAACAAGTGAATTGGTGCCGGTATCAACTTCTTCAGAGTTTGTGCAAGATGATTATAGTGCAACAGAAAATCTGAAAGGCAGTGTTGAAACCGAAACAAATGAGTTGGTGCCAGTATCAACTTCTTCGAAGTCTGTGCAGGCGGATACTCTGACTGGCCGTGTTGATGCTGAAACATGTGAATTGGTGCCAGTATCCACTTCAGAGTTGGAACAAGTTGGTTATAGTGCAGCAGGCATTCTGACTGGCAGTATCGGTGCTGACATAAGTGAACCGGAACCAGTATCCACTTCTTTAGAGTCTACGCAAAATGATTATAGTGCAACAGACAATCTAACTGGCAGTGTTGAGGAAGACATAACTGAATTCGTGCCAGTATTAACTTCAGAGTCTGAAAATGTTGGTTATAGGGCAACAGACAATCTGACTGGGAGTGTCAATGCTGAAACGAATGAGTTGGTGTCAGTATCCACTACCTTAGAGTCTGAACAAGTTGGTTATAGTGCAACAGACAATCTGACCGGGAGTGTCGATGCCGAAACTAATGAGTGGGTGTCGGTATCCACTACCTTAGAGTCTGAACAAGTTGGTTATAGTGCAACAGACAAACTGACTGGCAGTGTTGATGCCACAATAAGTGAATTGGTTCCCGTGTCCCCTTCCTTAGAGTCTGAACAAGTTGATTATAGGGGAGCAGACAACCTGACTTATAGTGTTGATGACAGCATAATAAGTGAATTGGTGCCGGTGCCAGTGTCGGCTTCTTTAGACTCTGAACAGTCTGTTGATAGAGAAACAACCCACCCGGCTGATGGTGTTGTTGCCGACATTAGTGAGTTGGTGCCCATGTCCACTTCTCTAGAGGCTGAACAAGTTGAGTATAGTGCAACAGATAACTTGACTGACCATGTTGATGACGGCATAATAAGGGAGTTGGTGCCAGTACCGAATTCTTTAGACTCTGAACAGTTTGTTAATAGAGAAACAACTCACACGACTGATGGTGTTGATGCCAAGTTAAGTGAGTCAGTGCCATTATCCACTTCTTTAGAGGCTGACCAAGTTGAAACAGGCAGCCTGACCTCCAGGGTGGATACCGAGTTAAATGCATTGGCACCAATATCCACTTCTTTAGAGCCTGAACAAGTTGATTATAGTGCAGCAGGCAATTTGATTGATGATGTTGATGACGTCATAATAAGTGAGTTGGTGCCATTACCGAATTCTTTAGACTCTGAACAATCTGTTAATAGAGAAACGACCCACCTGACTGATGGTATTGATGCCGAGTCTAGCAAGTCAGTGCCGTTATCCAATTCTTTAGAGGCTGAACAAGTTGAGTATAGTGAAGCAAACAACCTGACCTCCGGCGTTGATACCAATCTAAATGCATTGGTGCCAATATTCACTTCTTTAGAGCCTGAACAACTTGATTATAGGGCAACAGACAACTTCACTGGTGGTGTTGATAATGACTTAACCAAATTGGCACCAGTGTCTACTTCTTTGGGGTCTGAACTTCATGCTAATTATGACGAAACAAGCCTCCACAACGTGGATGACTCAGTTGATGCAAGTGAAATGGAAAACTTAGCATTGGTTAGTCTTATACCCTTTTCTTATGGAGGACTATAATTCACTTTACTGTGCATATGATTTCCTTCAAGTGCATTATCGTTTCTAATATGTTTTAATGGTCAATTTTTTGTTTAGCTGGATGAATCGGTTCCATCCTCAGACTTGGAAAACAAAATAGACGTCAGCAATACCGAAAGAAGTGATTATGAAAATCCATTATTTAATACTTTACCAGAGATACATTCAGTTGAGATACCTAGTGATGGGTATGTCAACTATCTTCTCTTTTATTATTTTAAATTATGCTCACTCTTTCTCCTCATGGTCTTCGCTATGTGGTTTGGTAAATATATTACCATTGGTAAAACTTTCACCTTTTTTCGTTGAAAGGAAATGTTTATGAGCACATTCTAGTTGTTGAATTTGGTGATAAAGCAATGAAGATTTTCGAAGCCTGAGAGAGTGATATACAAGTTGTATATAGTGCAAGTAAAATATTGTTGTTGTAAGGACTAAGGAATGAAACAAAATGATTTATAATGGTCATTCTTAACTTGAAATGCAATTATCTAGGTTTGATGCTATTTCATGGTTCTTGGAATTTGAATTGACCTTTTTCATGGTTCTTCATGCTGGTTACTTGCATGTGGACAGGGAAAAAATTACAAGAACGGAGCTTTTCCTAGTTTCTGGTGCTGCTTGCTTGCCTCATCCCTCCGAGGTGCCTTTCAGTCATCAATATCCTGACTTTCGATTTTTTTTAATGGGAAATTTGACCGTCTATGCTTATTATATTTAAGTGATTTTGGTTTGAATTCTTAAAGTAGATGGTAATAACTAATAGGCCTACCGGTAACAACTTCCAGGCACTGACAAATCGAGAAGATGCTTATATTATTTCTCCCCAAAACTGGCTAGTTGTGGCTGATGGAGTTGGCCAGTGGTCACTTGAAGGTATCCTTTCTACATTGAATTTTAGTTTTAAAACAAACTCTTACAGTCCAATTAAATCATCAAAATGCTATTTATCGAATATATTTTTATTTTCCTCGTTGTAATTTGTGAACATGCATTTACTATTTTGAAAACAAGGTTTTTCCATTTGTTGGACTGAGTAAAGAGTATCATTCCAGTCGTCCATTATCAAATCTCTGATTTGGCTTTTTTCGGTTGTAAACTATACTTATACCCCTGAAAAACTCATGCAGGGAGTAATACCAGAGTGTATATCAGGGAGCTCATGGAAAAGTGTGAAAATATTGTTTCAAATTATGAAAACATTTCAACCATAGAACCTGCAGATGTTCTTATCAGAAGTGCTGCGGAAACACAATCTCCAGGGTCATCTTCGCTTTTAGTTGCTTATTTTGACGGACAGGTACGTGATTATCTATTTTTGCGAAAGAGTTAAAATTAGAACACAACAAGTCTGTAGCTCAAATGAATGCTAATGGCAGTGCCAGATTGAGTGACATTGGAAAAGCATAAATAAAATCCTTCTGCGGCATATTTTCAAAGAACGTGAATCATCTATAGCAATTTATTTGCAGGTCCTCCATGCAGCCAATGTTGGTAACACTGGATTTATCATTATAAGAGAAGGTTCCGTCTTCAAAACATCAAATGCAATGTTTCACGAGCTCAGTTTTCCAATACATTTGGTTAAAGGCGATGACCACTCAGAAGTCATAGAAGTATGTAGTCTACCTCGTAATTTTTTATTATTTAAAATTGATTGAATACGATAGAGACTCAAAAGTAAAGTGCGTTTCAGGAATACAAAATTGATCTAAACAACGGCGACGTGATTGTATTTGGCACAAATGGCCTTTTTGACAATCTTTATGAGCATGAAATAGCATCAACAATATCAAAAGCACTACAAGCTAGCTTGGAACCTCAGGTTGATTCTTACTTGCTAATGAAACTATTTCTTCTGAAGTGTAAAACCCTTGGTAGCTTATGGTTAGTTTGTGTATGGATATAACTTGCAGGAAATTGCAGAAATTTTGGCGACGGCGGCACAAGAGGTTGGAAGATCAAGTTCCACTGGAAGTCCTTTTGCTGATGCAGCTCAGGCTTTGGGCTATGTGAGTTATGCAGGAGGCAAGCTTGATGATGTAACTGTTATAGTGTCATTAGTTCAAACTACATAGCTATTTCTAGTTTGTATGGCTCAATATCTAATGACATTTCACGTGCACATACAACTGTTTTTGTATATTTATCATGATGCTGAAGAGATGCGATTTTTTCCACTTATTTAGGGGTGGTTGTTGTATATTACAGTTGTGTTATTTAGCAAACGACAACTGACACTGTATTCAAATGAGAATGAGTGTGGACACCAAATCCAAAGAGAGAGAAAAAGAATATGAGGTGAGACAAAAAAAATATATATATATATATATACGACGTTGATGTTGGATTTTGTGTATGTGGAGTGTGCATTACGAAATTTAGAATTTCAACAATTTGGTTCTCATCTGCGAGGTGTCAAAGAAGGGTTGCGAGGCAATGAACAACTGTTCCCAGCATTTCACTACTGTCTTATCCACAAGGAAGTGTGACTGTCGCCTCTGCCCCTGGAGTCATGAAGAGGAGAGTGACAAGCTTGGGATCGTCCTCGTGATCCTGTAATTTCTAGGTGCTGAGAGACAGCATCACTGAAAACCACCTAGGGCGTGAGTCTGGGATCGAACAACTTATAATATCCTGTCGAATGATATCTTACTAGGATCATTTGACTCGACTTATCTTTAAATTTTCTTCTCATCTGATATGATACATGTTTGTGCTATCGATTCAAACACTTTCAGATGACTCAAGTTATGATGAACGTAGATAGTTTAGACATAATGAATTAGGTGGTGTGTTAAATTGTAATTCATAGTGTCGAATAATGTGTGTATCAAATTAGATTTGATTTAGTTACACACAAGATTTGATTTCGATCTAAAATAAAAGAGATTTGATTTAGGTTTAAATTAGAGAGATTTGATTTAGTTCTAAAGTATGTATTTTGGACTTTTATAGTTTTGAGCTTTTGCATTAGGGAGCAAGCTAACTTAAATCTATAAATAGAGGAAGTAACCCCTATTTTGTAATCAATCAAGTTGTATTCACAGAATTTACAGTTGCAAGTAAATAAGAAGTTTTCCACAATTTGTGGCCAGAGAGAACTCTATAGAAAATCATTGTCTTCTCTTTCTTTTATTCTTTCATATAATTCATTGTTATTGTGTGGTGATAACAATCTTGTTCATCAAGATTGATAGAAATTCATCATAGATATTGGTGGATTTTCAACATCTGGTATCAAGAGCTCCGGTTGAGTGATCAAGGGAAGAAAAAGAAAATCAATGGCGGTGAATTATACAAGTGGAAAATTTCCATCAAATCTTCCTATTCTTAAAAGTGATAACTATGAGAATTGGTGCAAACAAATGAAGGTTATATTTTATTTTCAAGGTCATGGGTTCGAATCCCCCCGGCTGATGTTGTGGGGGAGATTGTTGGATTATTTAATCCAGCATCAACCTGAGGGATTCGATGGGCTTAATATCTCACCCATGATCGCCTACACAAATGTGTTAGGTGGGCCTGGTAGGCCTCTTGGATTTCACTCTATAAGGAAATATAGTTTCTCTCTGACTAATAGCAATTGTTTTTGGCCTAGTGGTAAGCGCTTGATCCAATTAAAGTGGTATTAGAATCCGGTTCGAGTAAGGCACCGACTCATTGTGTCGAAAGTCTTTTTGATATGGTGGGCGGTACAAGTATGTGGATGAAAGAGTTTCTATTTGAGGGGGAACATAGTGGATGGACTCACACTTCAGGGGGGGATTATTGGGAAACAAGTGTGAGTTATATTGAGAAAAAAATGTGAGTTCTAAGTCTCACATTGCTTAGTAAAGTGAAGGTTGGACACTTCATAAATGAGAGGACCCATACACCTATTACCTTAATGTGATAGACGAGTGGGTTCTCCCACTTATATATGCTCAAATCTCTAGTCTCCACATTCCTATTCAATATGGGACTATTCTCCACTTACTCACACTCGCATTATTATTCTAACATTCTCCCTCTAATGTGAGTCCATAATGCTCCCCCTCAAGACACTTGTACCGCCGCATTTCGATACAAGTTAGTTGGTCACTTTCTCGAACCAAAGGCTCATGATACCATTTATTGGGTTATCATTGAGAGAGAAACATACACATTAGGCCAAACACTCACCTAAAGATCAAAGACTCACCAAACAAATGAGATAGAGACCATATATACACCCAAACCCTTAAGGTAATAGGTGTATGGGACCTCTCATTTATAAAGTGTTCAACCTTGACTTTACTAAACAATGTGAGACTTAGAACTCACACTTGTTTCTCAATATAACTCACACCTGTTTCCCAATAATTCCGACATTATTACGTGTTGTTGCTTCTTGCAAATGGCCTCAAGGTGGAGAAACATGTTTCTCTTCTACTTGTAATAATCTTTTTGCAAGGTTCGCATGTCCTTGAGGTGGAGCAACTTCATATTTTTCTTCTACTTGTAATTTTCAGTAAAATTGGCTTGATGTCTTTCTCATTGTATTTGATACTATATATAATAGTGTTAGTAATTACAGGTAATTACAATTCATAATGACTAATTACAACTCATAATGACTAAATTATTCATAATAAATGTAAAGATTATTTCCTTATTAACACCCCCTCAAATTGATGCGGATGGTCAAGGAGCATCAATTTGATAACAAGAAACTTATATCGTGGCCGTGGAACAATCTTGGTAAGAATATTTGCAACCTACAATTGAGTATTGACGTGATGAATTGATATCATTCGATCATCGTAGGCGTCGGGTATTGAATGACAATCAACTTCTATATGTTTTGTGCGTTCATGAAAAATAGAATTTACAACAATTTGAATGACACTTGTATTGTCAGCATAAAGTGAAGTTGGCTCTGTTTAGGGAAATCTAAGTTCAGTCAAAAGACCATGAAGCCAAAGCATTTCTGAACAAGAAGCAAGCATGACACGATACTCTGATTCAGTAGAAGATTTAGAAACCCTTGCTTGCTTTTTACTTTTCGAAAAGATCAATGAAGAACCAAGAAACATGCACCAAACAATAATAGATCGACGAGTATCAGGACACCATGCTTAATTAACATCACTATAAGCACTCAACTGAAGAGAAATTCCAACGAAAAAGAATAATCTGCGGTGAGAGGTTCCCTTTAAGTAGAGAATTATACGATGAACCTCATCCAAGTGAAGATGGCGAGGAGAATGCGTGAATTGACTTACTTATTGAACAACAAAAGATATGCCAAAGCGAGTAATAGTCAAGTAGTTTAGGCTACCCACAAGTTGTCGATATAATAAGGGATCATGAAAAAGATCACCATCATCACGATGATATTTAACATTAACCTCAAGAAGAGTGTTGTACCCCAAAATTTTCTCTCTCATTTCTCAAGATATTTCCTACAAATATCTTCAATGACTCAAGTTTGCGCAAGCATCGTCTAGGTCAAATAATCTCCTCAACACTAATGCCTCAAATTAGGGTTTGAGTTTGTACAAAGGCAGTTGGATTTCTAATGTTTAAAATGAATTTCATGGATCATTATGGACCCTCAGGATTATTTTTGTCAAGTTTCAAGTATTGGATCACAATTTTCTAAGAAAGTCATCCAAATTACCAAAAGGGCAAAATGGGCAAAATTAGGGTTTTGACTGAAAATGACCGAACTTTAATTTTTGACCTAATACCTGGCTTATTGGTTGGAAGCATGATCTCAAGGATCCGAGCGCGTCATTTTGATCTAATTGCATATTTCAATTCATCCCCTGAGATCAGTGGATTGATAGACAAAATCCGGCCAACTGGTGGAAAAAGTCAACTATACACTAAAAAGTCAAACTTTGACTTTTTGACCAAAGTTGAGTCCCAAAAATCATATTTCATCAAGACATCCAAAATATGAAATTTGATCATCAAAAATCAAGAAATTCAAAAGTCCAACTTTTGCAAGACTTGGAAAATTTTCTAAGTTAAGTTCATTGCTTCATGACATCTTGAGAATATTACTAATTACCGAGTTAATTGGGAAGTTGGTAATATCCGAAGGAAGGATGTAGACTCTGGGAACCTTTATAACCTTGTTCGGCAGGTTATAACTTTTAGACCATACCTTATGGGTAATATCTTCAACCTCATGCTCGTGACGTTGAACCTATGAACCCTATGTTTGTGACCTTGTGTGTGATTATTGCATCATGTATTCATGCACTCATAAGCATCTTTGGAAGACGTTCTATTTCAAGGGACTTAAAAGTTGACTATTTTTGAAAATCTCAGGTACCTTTTGACCATGGATTCTGGAAAAAGAAAGACCAGAAAATACAGTTTCAAAGATCCCAAGATAGATGAGTTGATGAGTATGATTCCCGAGATTAAGTGTCCTGTAAGTTTTCGAAAGAAGTATGGGTCCATCATTTCTCTCATGAGGTTGCTGCTTTGATCCATTTGGGGAAGTCTGAGGTTGAAGCTCACATGACTACTAAAGGAGGGATTAGAGGATTACCAGCTCAGTTCTTATTGGAGAAAGCTCGTCACTTTGCTAGGATGAAGAGTACTGTCGCTTTTGAGGCCATTTTTGCTCTACTCGCTTACGGGTTGTTCTTATTTCCTAATATGGACAAATTTGTTGACATTCATGCTATCAGGATCTTCATGATTGGAAACCAAGTTCCTACATTGTTGGGTGATACTTATTACTCTATTCATCTTCAGGATTCTTATCATGGGGGGATGATTATCTGCTGCAATCCTTTATTGTACCGATGGTTTACTTCTCATTTTCCTCAGTCTGATGCTTTCTGGGATATCAGGAAGGAACCCTGTTAGGCTCCTAAGATCATGGCACTTACCCACTCAGATATTGTTTGGTATCATCAGGCTTATCACGATGTAGAGATTGTCGACAACTGTGGTAGTTTCCCCAATGTACCTCTTCTTGGTACAAAGGGAGGGATCAACTACAACCCTGTTCTTGCACGACGACAACTTGGATATCCGATGAGGGATAAGCAAAATAGTGTTTATTTGAGTAGTTTCTTCCTGAAAGAGGGAG